TATATGTATGTATGTATATGTATGTATATATATATATGTATGTATGTATGTATGTATATGTATGTATATATATATATATGTATGTATGTATATGTATGTATATATATATATATGTATATATGTATGTATGTATATATATATATATATGTACGTATGTATATATATATATATATATATTTATACTGTATATAAACGAAACAAAAACAGCTACATTATAAAGTGATGTAAATACTAAAAACAGGAACATTTCTGTTGGTTTATGCCATGAACTTAACAGATGTTTAAAGCCATTTAACATTTAATTTAATTCATTTATTCATTAATTTAAAAGAAACAAATTCATCAAAAAAGAAAACATTGAATGAAGAGTGCAGAAAGAAGAAAAGTCTTATATCTGCCCCTTACAGGTCCTTCTCAAAAAATTAGCATATTGTGATAAAGGTCATTATTTTCCATAATGTAATGATAAAAATGAAACTTTCATATATTTCAGATTCATTACACACCAACTGAAATATGTCATGTCTTTAATTGTTTTAATACTGATGATTATGGCATACAGCTCATGAAAACCCAAAATGCCTGTACCAAAAAATTAGCATATCATGAAAAGCTTCTCTAAACAAGCTATTAACCTAACCATCTGAATCAACGACGTAACTCTAAACACCTGCAAAAGATTCCTGAGGCTTTTAAAAACTCCCAGCCTTGTTCATTACTCAAAACCGCAATCATGGGTAAGACTGCCGACCTGACTGCTGTCCAGAAGGCCATCATTGACACCCTCAAGCAAGAGGGTAAGACACAGAAAGAAATTGCTGAACGAATAGGCTGTTCCCAGAGTGCTGTATCAAGGCACCTCAGTGGGAAGTCTGTGGAAAGGGAAAAGTGTGGCAGAAAACGCTGCACAACGAGAAGAGGTGACCGGACCCTGAGGAGGATTGTGGAGAAGGGCCGATTTCAGACCTTGGGGGACCTACAGAAGCAGTGCACTGAGCCTGGAGTAGAAACATCCAGAGCCACCGTGCACAGGCGTGTGCAGGAAATGGGCTACAGGTGCCGCATTCCCCAGGTCAAGCCACTTTTGAACCAGAAACAGCGGCAGAAGCGCCTGACCTGGGCTACAGAGAAGCAGCACTGGACTGTTGCTCAGTGGTCCAAAGTACTTTTTTGGATGAAAGTAAATTTTGCATGTCATTAGGAAATCAAGTTGCCAGTCTGGAGGAAGACTGGGGAGAAGGAAATGCCAAAATGCCAGAAGTCCAGTGTGAAGCACCCACAGTCAGTGATGGTCTGGGGTGCCATGTCAGCTGCTGGTGTTGGTCCACTGTGTTTTATCAAGGGCAGCGTCAATGCAGCTAGCTATTTTGGAGCACTTCATGCTTCCATCTGCTGAAAAGCTTTATGGAGATGAAGATTTCATTTTTCAGCACGACCTGGCACCTGCTCACAGTGCCAAAACCACTGGTACATGGTTTACTGACCATGGTATTACTGTGCTCAATTGGCCTGCCAACTCTCCTGACCTGAACCCCATAGAGAACCTGTGGGATATTGTGAAGAGAAAGTTGAGAGACGCAAGACCCAACACTCTGGATGAGCTAAAGGCCGCTATCGAAGCATCCTGGGCCTCCATAACACCTCAGCAGTGCCACAGGCTGATTGCCTCCATGCCACGCCACATTGAAGCAGTCATTCATGCAAAAGGATTCCTGACCAAGTATTGAGTGCATAACTGAACATGATTATTTGAAGATTGGCGTTTTTTGTATTAAAAACACTAGTTAGTCAAATAGCTTAAAAAAATGTACACAAAAATATAAACAAATGTATCTTTATACCTACACAATATGTAGCTAATTTGTAAAATGTGTCCTTGAGGGAAGAGTGTAACTTGGATTAAAAGAGTGGATTATTGTAACCTGGATTAAAAGTGTGGATCATTGTAGTGAAGCCTTCGTCTTCAACCATTGACCGAGGCCTTGTGTCAGTGACGATCATTTAAGGATGCTTTCCGTGAAGACAGCTGCTGCTGTGGTGTCCATGATGTCTGTCCATCATGAAGTGTTGTTGTTTGTTGTTGTTTTCTGGAATGAGAGAGTACATATGTATTATAGCATAATTTACAGCAACTCAAGAAATGCCTTGTTTCACTTTGTGTTAGGTTCAGGCAAAAGTAGCTAAAAGAGCAATTACACACACACACACACACACACACACACACACACACACACACATATATATAAAATACTTAATTACACACATTTGAGTAGATGTAATAAATTACCTTAATTCCTGTTTAAATGCAATTCATCCTGCCATACCTGTAGTGTCTTCAGACTTTGCGAGCAAATTAAAAGTTGAAGCTTAATCATTAAATTATTGTCTTTGTGTTAGATGTATTTAAAAATCACATTTAAACACTGCTTGTACCAATTAAACTAAATAAAAAGTAACACACACGTTCTCTATCACCGTCATTAATTAGCAAACAAACAAACAAACAGCTTCATCTACCAGAGAGACTGATGTTACGTTTTCTCACTTGGAAACAGAACAATGTGTTAAATTGTAGAGACTCACCTGCAACACATGAGTTGAGAGTGAAACGAGTTGTATCTGCTGCAGCTCATGACTCCGACATGTTTTCGTTTATCAGCGTGGTTCTCCTGTGTCGTGTCGTCAATTTTCAAAGCGGCATGCATCTCATTTTTTATCTTTGTGAGGAGCTCCCACTCTTTGGAGGACTTGGGTCGAACAGTTTTCTCTGCATCGGTCATTTGTAAAATTTACTTATTTTCCTTTGAAAACACCGCCTCTGCTCTGCTTCTGCTTCAGTCTGTTCAACTCGCGCGGCAGTTTTTAAAAATTTTTTTTTACTTTATTCAGTCAGTCAACATTGACAATGAACTGCTCGTGAACAAAACGGTCCGCAGCGCCGTGGAAGACGCATAATCGCGCGACACAATGAATCGATAATGAAATTCATTGCCAGCGCTTTTAATCATCGATTTTTATTGATTTTATCGATTCGTTGTTGCAGCCCTAATCAGAACACTGTCGGTCACTGATTGGTCATGGGGCATAGTCATTGGATCTTTGAGAAACTTTTCAAAACAACTGATCCACCATTTGTAATAACTCCAACTCGGAGTGATTTGACCTATTTTTAAGTTTTTAAAAACAATAATGTAAACACCGTGGTCTATAATGACATGCAGTTTCTAGTGCTTGGTGGCCGACGACAAAATTCAGAGCGAGTTAAATGGAGCTCCACCGTTCCTCTCCACCGGAGCCTTGGAGCCCTCTCAGGCCGAGCAAGCACCCCCCCCCCCCCCCCCCCCCCCCGCACCCCCCCCCCCCCCCCCCCCCCCCCCCAACACACACACACACACACACACACTATCACCAGAGAGAAACAGGAGAACCCCGGACGACCTCAAGCAGCCACAGTGCAGAAGCCCCAGGAGGTTGCAGCAATAAACCCACAGACCCTGCTGGCATCCCGCTACGCCAGAGCAGATCTAGCCATGGACACAGAGCCCCGAGGTCATACCACCCCCACAACAGAGCCTCGACAGAGCCAGGACACCCGAGCCCCAGCAAACAGCCACTAGGGTGGGTTGGCACACACCCAAGCACTCAGCCCCAGATGCCACCAGTTTGCCGGCAGCAGGGGCACTAGCCACCGGAGGGAAGTGTGACAGAAGGAAGTACCAAAATGATCCACGAGATTGCCCGTTCACCCCCACAACCATTGCCCAGAGTCCTAAATGTCTACATGCTCCATTTGGGAGTGGGCACAGGTACTCGAGGCAAGATTGATTACACATCCC